ATACATGAGCTTCTTCAAGTGTGCGTTTTTGTAGAGGCTACCTGTTTCAAGTTGACTACAACGGGAGAACGCCGGCAGTTGTACGGCCAAAGTCCCCTTCTTTGACACAACCCCAGAGACTCATTACCCAGAATCCGGGCCGCCAAAAGGCGCGCATTGGCCTAGGAAGAGCGTGCGGGTGCAGATCGAAGATCTGGACAAACAGCTTACGCAGCTGAAGTCCGAGTTTAGCGCTGAGCACCAGGAGTTGAAGGATCCGAAATTCGGAAGGTGCAGTGTTCTCCGATGTGTTCGTGTTTGTCTTGGTTTGTTTGTGTGTGTGTGTGTTCTTTTGTTTATAGCTTTGTTGGCTTGGTGTGGTTTGGTGTTGTTTGTGTTCCTTGGCTTGCTTTGGTTTGGATTTGGTTTGCTTTGGTTATTGGGGGGCTGTTTGGTTAGTTTGGTGTTTGTTGTTTCATCTGGGTATTGTGTGTTTGCTTTGTTGGTTTGCGTTTTGGTTGTGTTTGCTTTGTTTGTTTGTCCGTTTGTCCACTGGTTGTTGTTCTTTTCCACTAGTTGTTTTATTTTTTTGTTGGTTGGCACATCGTTTGATTGTTTGATTGCTTGTTTGCTTGCCTGTCTGTATGAATGAATGGAATGGAATGGAAGGGAAGGGAAGGGAAGGAAAGGGGATGAATGAATGACTGAATGAACGATTTGTTTAAAGACAAATACACAAAATCCAACAATAATTAATGACGATTTGTCGATTGGTTGGTTGGTTGAGAGATTGAGTGATTGCTTGCTTGATGGATTTATTGTTTGTTTGGTTGATTGATGCTTTGTGTTTTGCTTTGCATACGTGGTTGGCTGGCTGGCTTGGTTTGAGCTTCGGGCAATCAACTGTTGTCGTGTTTTGCGTGCTTGCTGTTGTGTTTGAAGCGTGTTGCTTGTGTGTGTGTGTGTATTGTTCTGATGTTGGATTTGTGTTGTGCAGTTTGCTACTGTTTGTTTTCTCTGGGGCAATTGAGGGGCGTGCACATGCTGAAGAACGGCTGAAGCGGCACGCGGCGAATCCTCCGTCCAAATTCACACACAACAAAACCTAGGTCCTTCAGTAGTGCTTTTACCCTTTGTTGGGGGAGGGTTCCCCTAGTAAAATAGAATACAGAAAGAAGGGTACCGTTATTTTAACATCTCTGCTGGAGGACCTAGTACCAAACAAAACACTTACAACTTACAATGGCATACATTTGCGCATGGTCCCCTCGCTTGGTTTAGTGAACCAAGTCGTGTTGACTTCCGGTAGGCTTAGATCCGAGGTGGGCACCAGCCCTTCCCAACTTCGAACAGAGACCGCGCCCCTCAAGTTACAAGCTGAAGATCGCCCATCGCCCATCCGAAGTCCTGCCTTGGGACTGACTTGTCCTACGAGGGTCCCTTGGTACCTAAGGAGGTACTTAGACCCCGTTTTACTCCCAAAAGCCATCATGAGGTACTTGGACCCTCTCTAGGAAAGGGCAAACTTGATGGTTGATGAAGCCAGAAGCTCGGAGTGCGTAGGGGGTCAGGCCAGGTTGGCCAGCGGTTGCCAGGATTGCTTGAAGCTGATTGCCGCCCAACTGCACAGAGCTTCCAGTGAACGTGAACTATTGAGTCCATCCAACTGAAAACTTGTTGGGCCTTCTGCGGGTAGGCTGGAAAGAAAAACAGCTTGGTGGTTTGAAGACCTTTCGAGCAAGAACACCTTAAGCCGTCTAATCTGCCTTTTGATTCTTCAGGCAGATTTGGTTGGACTCCTTACCGCGTTTTGATTCTGAACCTTGCTTGCAAGACTTTGTGGCTTACTAACACCCCAGTTGCCAGGGGTGCCTCAGTTTTCCCTGCTAGGACCTCCAAAAGCGGCACTTTTTGTGGAATCTACCACTTGGTTGCCACTTTTGCAAAGGAAATGCAGGAACCCCGGTTCTCATAAGCCGGGACGCCCTTGATGTTGACATTGTTACAAGGCTCTGGTCCGTTTCTTTACTGGGGCCTCCTCTCTTCGGGCCGCAGACTTCCAAGTCCACTTGCCACGAGCCACGAGGGCAACCTGAAAACCTCGGCCACTCTGATTGCTAACTTTGGTTTGGGTTTCTCCGGTTTTTGGAACGCAGTGGAATTCACACAGGTTGCTTTTAACCCACTGGCGCGGAACCTGGAAGGCACCTGGAAGACAAAAAAAAACCCGCGCATTCTGTGAATTGGGTTCCAAGGTAGGTGGAAAAAGCGCAAGAGTTGAGAACCTAGTCGTTTAGTTTGCCGTGGTTGTCATTTGGTTGAGGTCCGACCATGTTTCCCTCTTACATTCGTTCAGGGCCTGTGTCACGTTTCTTGGCATGTGTGCTTCTGTTCCTCTGTTCCTTTTCAGTGACTCGCAAGCTAGAGTCGAGCGGTCAGGCTTCATCGACGCCAGCCTAGGCGGACCCTGCAGACAAGTTTGTCCTCGAGATCCCCGGGAAGTTCGAGCAAGCCAAACAGGACATGGAGGAGAATCCGTTTTTTTTTTTTTTTGGAAGGGCAATCCTTCATCCGTACCTTGGGTTAGGAAAAGATCCGAAAGGGCTAGCTTTGTAGTGGTTTTCCAATATGGGACATATGGATGGGGAATGGCTGCGTTCCATGTTCCATGAGCTGTCGAGTTTTCCAGGTTGCAAGACTGGCTTCAACAAACCAATCCATGAGCCTCTCGCAGGCATCCTAGAATTGCAGGCTAAGGCGTTTGCAGGGAGTCGCTGTCTGACATGGGAACTTGGGAGGTTACTTGAGAGGTAGGTTCACAGCAGGTTGGGTGGAGCATAGTCAACTTGGGCGTAATGTCCTGACCGAGGCTCAGGACCCTCCCCAAGTCCCTTGGTACCTTTTCAGGATGTACCTTGACTTGCTGGTGCTCAGAAGGGAATGAGGAAATGACCCCTCTTGCCCAGCCCCCATGGTTTTCCTTCACAAAAATCCCCTTCCGGTTCATTCCCAACACCGGAGGGTCAATCCCTATCACACCAGCGAACCTTGCGGGCTGTTGCAAGGAGTTGATCCTGCGGAAGGATCATGCGATGCAAAAGCCGCTAGGCTCCATAGTCCCTTTCGGCTTCGTTGCTATGGGCCAGGTTCCTTGTCCTCGGAGCGCCCCTTGGAACTCTGGGATGTACTTGGGTCAAGTGGGGATTTTCTGGTACGCCAAAGGTGCAAAGGGTACCCTGGGGGCTAAGATCCTTCTATACGTACCAGCGCGTTTCCGAAGCCGCAATTCAAAGTAAGCGAGAAACCATTTCTCTAAAGCAATCGCTGGGAGATGGACACAACATATACCCAGGGCTTCACCCTAGTGAGTTTCTGGTCACCGGGGTGTCCTTTTTTGACAATTTGTAAGCATGGTATGGCTGCTTCCACAAGATTGACCCTCACTGCTGCCTGATTTCCTGGTGTTGTTAATTTTTGGGTCTGGACCATTTGTGTGGCAGACTTGTTTGGCCAATCTACTCGTTGGGAATGAGGATGCTGGTTTGCGTTGGATTCGGCGAAAGAGCAACGGGCTTTGAAAGTGCCAACGCCTGAGGAGGTACTAGCTCAGTATAAATATAAATACACAGCCTTTACATACGCCTTTATCATCGGCCTTGCGTGTATTATATACGGATATAGGTGTACTTTGTTCATTTTAGGGTCACCATTCCCTCCCCCCCCCCAAACGACCAAACCAATGCATATGGCAAAGAGCCCTCGTCAGGTTCAAGGAGGTGCTGAGCGTGTTCAAGGCTGCGCCTCGGATGGAAAAGCTGGACTCGCGGGGGTCCCTTGGTACCGGAAGGTCAAAAAGGGCAATCCATTTGATACATCCTCACCTACCAAAGGACCCATGTACCCGGAAGAGACCCTTTCGTGGCTAGTGATTTGTTTGCATGGAGGTGGACGCCCACGCTCTTTATGGCGAGTTGGCTCCGAATCAGAACAGCCCAATCCATAAAGTTTATGGATTGCGCTGTTCTGATTCGGAGCCAACTCGCAGGAGCCATAGGAAGATCGTGACCTGCCCTCAAGGGCCCCCAGCCGCTATCCGGCTGTGATTTGTCTCCCCCTTGCGAGTTGGCTCTAAATCAATGAAAGGGGAGTCGATGCAACTCGACGCTATCAGACTAGATTGGTAGCAAAACGTCTAGACTTCTTCCACTCAAGTGAACAGGAAAGGAACTGAGCCTACTTGCGTTTGTTTTTTTGGTTGGTCAACCAGAGGTTCCTATGATTATATGGGTATTTGTTTTCTTTGTTAGGATACCTTTTGCGTGAGGAAACCAACACGAAAACCACAATTCTGGTCCGTTGACACATGCTTATGTAGGAAATTATTGGGCAGTGTTATGCTATCCCTCAACGTTGGTTGATTCATTTGACCCTATCGATGTTTGATTGTTCACCGCTCTCCAGTCAGCCATTCCCTTTGATGACTGCCTTTGGTCGATAGGTCTTAAGCCCGTCGATTCCCAGCCGATTGCTCCAAGCCACTAGTGGGGTAGACTGAATGATGGCAATACGATGAATGACTTTTCCCAAATAAGATGCACTATGGTTTACTACCCTCCCTCCAACCATCATGGAAGCTGACACGAGGGTTCTGGAAGACTATGTTCCTTTTGAGGAATCCAAGATCCAACTTCTCACGCATCTTACTCCCCAAGTTCCTGGACTCTAGCCACGCTTCGGGAAGACAAGGGTCTACGCGCCTTCAAAGCATCTCCTTAACCCACCCCGAAACCATCCAGGGTAGGGTGGGGTGGGGTGGGGTTGGGGTGTGGGGTGTGGTGTGGTGGGGTGTGGTGTGGTGCGGTGGGATGGGGTGGGGTGGGGTGTGGTGTGGTGTGGTGGGGTGGGGTGGGGTGGGGTGGGGTGGGGGTGGGTGTGGGTGGGTGTGGGTGGGGTGGGTGGGTTTGAGCCCAGGGTACGGGGTGGGGGGGCATTTGGATGCCCGAAGTTGCACCCTGCACGGACAGGCGTTTTAGGGGGCCCATGTGAAGCGATTCGCCAAGGCAAAGGCCAGGTCCCGAACCGGGCACGAACCAAGCGCGAGCCTCCCAAGCAGAGTCAGAGCGCCGCCTGAGCGCAAGCCAAGCTCGAACCGAGAGCGAACTGAGCATGAGACTGCAGACCAAAGCACAACTTGAGCGCGAGCCGAGCATGAACCAAGCACAAACAGGAACCAAGTGCGATGTGAGCACGCCGTTTCCAGCTACGCGCAGAAGAAAGATGAAAAGCACTCCTGGCCCCATGCGCAAAGGCGAGCCCGAGGACTTGGCAACTAAACAAACACCTCAAAGTAGTACGGACTTTGCACCCCTTTGGCACTCTGTTTGAAGACAAAAAACATCATGTGTGGGTTTGTGTATTTGAGCCTGCTGTTGGCTTTCCTGTAGAACCACCCGCAAAAAGGGGTATCCTGCTAACGCATGTTGTTTTGAAGCTGGTGTCTTTTTTACCCTTGTAGACTGACTGGGTTGAAGGGCTTTTTTGAAACAGAAACCAATAACCATTTTGGGAAGGGCCCTTGTTTTCACACAGCCACATCAGGTAACGGATCTGTAGATCTCACGTTACACGGTAGTTGATTGTGTTGTACTTGGAGCCGCACTTGGAACAAGCAGTGTTGAACTTTAGTCTTGCTGTTTCTCAGCAGGGAATGAATGAACCACCCCCGTAAACTATGGTTCCTTTCGGGGAATTCCCTTCTGGTTCATTCCAACACCGGGAAGGTCATTCCCTACCTATGGCACCTGCAAGTAGTGGCAAACACGGGGCCAATCCACAGAGCTTCCTGACACTGTGCGTAGCGAAGGAAACCTATCGGGGCGACCCCATCGTCACGGACGGTCAGGTCAAGGACCAACCTTCGACGGTCGAACACATGGCCAGATTTGTTTGGACCCGGGGTGCCTTAACAGGGCCCCCAGTTTTGACCACCAAGATCGTTGTGCTTGTAGAAGCTACTTGGTAACCCTACCTCACTTCCAATCGACTGAATTAGCCAAACAAAATTAACGTCAACCCAGGATTAATCACCCACTACTTAATGTGTGGGTGTCCCTAGTTTTAATGGGAAAATAGAGCGCTTTTGGAGGGGAACACCCCCATTTTAATAGACGGGGGTTGTTTAATATGGGGTCAACATTAAATTACTTGGGTGCTGAGTTCGCCAAGTTCGTGAATGGTTCCCACCAATTCATACGGGAGGCGGATTTCTGGCCACATAATCTTTGCAGGAGTTGGGGAGTTCTGATGACCTGTTCTCTTGGAGAACCCCTGACTCATTCTTGGTCCAACCCTAAAGACCCTTTGTCGGCTTTGGCTCAGTCTAAACACAAGTTAGAGGTCGCGAAAATAAGTCCCCCCAACAAGGGGTTTCCTTTTTCCCCATGGGAAATCCCACCAAGTGTCTTGGGGGTTAGGGCCCCCCCCCCCCCCAAATCCAAAATCGCCAGATTGCCAGGATGGCAACCCCAAGGAGGAAATGACCAGCGAGGTGTGGTGCAAGATTTGGGATGACTTCTTCGTGGGAGCCTTGGAGACGCAGTGCTGCTTCTCACTTTTTCAATTGTTTGGATTTTCTACTCGTTGGGAAGACCATCTTAGTGACTTAGTGGCAAACAAGAAGCATGGACTCTTGTTGGTAATAGGAAGTCAAACTCAGGTGGATCAAATCGCGGTTTAAACAAACCACAGTCATGTGGGTATGAGGGCTGAAGTGCATTGAATGGTGTCGCCCCACCAACACTGAGCCGGAATATTTGTTTGGCTCTGTCTTCAAATGGCCGGAAGAACATATGATAGTTAGGAGTCCTTTTAGTTCCCCCCCCCTTGTGATCGAAAATATTCCCGGTGCATGAGTTCCAAAATGAGCCGAAATCGGTGATCGAAAATGATCCCCTCCCTTTTTAACCACCCCACATTTTGGGTACCCTCAAAGGACGAGCCGCCCATTTGAGGCCCCATCCCCAAACGCGTCTCAAGGTGCTAAAACGCCCCGCGTTCTCGGGCTGACTCGGGCGGAACCCTACTAAAATAGACTACCGAGAAAAGGGTACCCTTATTCTAATCTCTCTACTGGAGGACCTGGATTCCCTTCAATCCCAAGCGGGTTCCAATTTGTTGCATGAATTGCCTGCGCTGTTTGGGCGAAAAAATGTCTAAGTGAGGAAGGCCCGCGTGTTTTCACAGACGCAGCAAAACCCCATTTTGCGCGGCGTTGGGCTTCCAGGACCCCATTTGGTGGGGTTCCTTATAACTGGGGTACCTGGGGGTGAGTCCCCTCGTAACCATTGGTCCAAGAACCGGTCGGTGTCCTGTCCCTGCTTCATGTGGGGGGTGCCCCATGTTTGGGTTTGTTTAAATTGGACCAATCAGGGACACCGCTCATATTTGTTTCGCGCTCCTCAATTCGGTCACTTAGGAAACTAGCAGCACTTGGGATTTCGGAGAACCCTTGAACATGCTCACACTTGGGACCCAGACAAACCCCCTTGGTGTGGCTTTCTCTTGGAGGGCCCCCCCAAAAAAAAAACAACAAAGGGTGGTTTGCTTTCGGTTTGCCTTTAAACCAACCCCAAACAAGGGTACCGTCAAAGAAAAGCCGCGCCGGGTACCCCTCAAGCGCCTCCAGGTCCCTTCGGAAAGAGCTCTAAGCTTCGATGAGAAGAGGCAGAAGGAGCTGATCGAGCCACGGTTTTGCAAGGACCGGAGCGACGTGTCTGGAGGCTTCGCGTGTTTTGGGGGACCCTTTGGAGCGTTTGTTTAAGCTCGCGGGTCCAAAACCGACCTTAGACCAACATGGTTTTCACATGTGGGTTTGTGTTTGGTCAAGGTCCCCACAGCTGATCACTTTTCATTTCCAGGTCCCTGAGGAGCAACTGATTGAAAGGGAAACCACAAAGAACCCCCCTGGTTGGCGATGCCTTTTGGATCTCAATAGTTCTCCCAGGTGCCCCGTACCGGTAAACCCGGCTGTTCTGGTCTATAGCGGATTGTGGGACAAATCGTTGAACATCCAGTTGGATATGTGCCAACATAGGGGCCCGGAACTTCAAAATTGGGGTTGTTTGGTTCCTTGCAATCAAGGTGAAAGAGCTACCCCCCCCCAACAAAGACAAGTCCATCGGTGCAAATTCATAATGGTGGTGTGAGGGCTTCCCTTAGAACTAAGGTGAAAAGGGTACCCTTTATCAAAGGGTACCTGACCCACGCTTAGGGTCCCGAGTGTTTTTGGGCCCTCCAAATGGATTGTTGTTGAGAGCCTTTGAGGAATTGGTCGGGGTTCTCCGGTCCGGGGGTTCCCTCTACCCCCCCAACAAAGACAAGTGCATCGAGGGCTTCCCTCAAAACTCAGGTGAAAAGGGTACCCTTTAGCCCAAAAAGTAAATTACCCAGTTGAAGCCTCGGAGAGGAGAAGCCTGTGTCCTTGGAGAGCCTCTCGATACTTTGGGGCCCCTGGGCTGCGCTTTCGGCTGTTCGGTTTTCGTCGGAACCGTTTCCCACCGGACCGAGGGACGGGGGGGGGGAAGTTCTTGCAGTACCCGGTCTTGTCTGCGATGGGATCAGGTTCGTGAACCGTTAATTTGCTTTTGGGAGAAATGTGTTTGTGGTTGTTCTTCCGTCCAGCAGCAGTGTTTCATTTGGGCAGGGCCTGCCAAGAAATCGTTGCTTCCCTCCAATCTCGGAAGCTCCACCATGGGTGACCCCCCAAAAAAAGAACGGGCTTCAAACTTTGAACCTTAGGTTTAAACTTTGAAGGTGGCTCCCTCAAGAAGGTAGCAACATGGGCGCCCCCAAAAGGTTTCCCTCTTGAGTTATATCCTCGGAATCCCCTTTTTGGGACCCACTGAAAATGAGAAAGGCCCCCAACAGGATTCCCTTTTCCCTATAGGGTCACTGGTTGCAACAGGCCCCCCCCCCCCCATTGAAGAGTATTCAATCGGCGCAAGGTGATGTGTGTTGGAAAATAGATTTCCCAGCCGTGGTTTCCCAATCTAAGATCCTTTGGAGAGGGTGATTTGGGTACCACTTTCTGCTGTGATCCTGTGATGATTCCCCTGAAAGTAATAAACCGCACAGTCACGGGAGGGGAACCCCGCTGTGGTTTCAGAGAAGGAGGTTTGCGGGAGCCAGGGGTTGGTCCCCTCTCCAGTACCACAGAACCGGATGGTCTCACAAGTGGCTACTCCCTACAAGCCTTAAAAGGAAATTGGTGAAGCAGCAGAGGTTTGTTTGTATTTGTTCCCGGTCATGTTATTAACAGAAGTTCATGCCACATGAGTGTGTGTGTGTGTGAGATGGGTTGGCGCAAGGTTTATGTGTTCAATGACATTAGGCCCGTAAGCTGTGGTTCACGGAAGCTCGTGGAAGCAGTCACAGAAACATGCCCGAAGCAACGGTTCATGCCGCAGACCCGGAAGACAGGAGGGGCGATCATTCTTCCGGGGCGATCATGGGATCGAAACTCTGTTAAGCATTCTTCGCTTGGTTCTCCATTTTTTGCACTTGTAGCGACGGTTCCAATAGTAAAAGCTCAACCAGTTTCCAGGTCCGTCAAGCAAGTTAGCAACAGATTACCGCTTGGTCAGTCAAACGAGGCACTTGCCAGTCGGCATCATAGTCATTCCACGGACAGGACTTCTGGTGCTTCTTCAAGCAAATTGTTAATCTGATTCCCAAAGTCTGGATACTTGTTGGGAAGACCATTTTGGTGGTAAAAGGTACTCTTGCTGGTCAATCCACTAGTTTGGAAGTGAGTTTAAGGGCTTTGGAGGAGACCCACCTCCATTTTCAAAAGTTGCACTTTGAGTGGAACGTATCCAAACATTTACTAGCTGCAAGGGAACTCCTGTGACCCCCTCTCCCATCGCTGGAGGGTTGGTTGACCTGGTTACTTGCCCTTCTGGTCAGCCTTTGCAACTTTCGTGGCAGTTTGCCCCATTTTAAGGGTTCAAGTAGCTTCCAGGGAGGCACTGCCTACCTCCTATGAACTGACTTACCTTTTTGCCGTCAGGTTTCCTTTCTGTTTCCTTTCAACCAGCAAACAATAAGTTGTTGCAGGGGGTCTAAGTCTGGTCAAGTGAACGTGTTTGTTACGACATCCTCGCATGGTACTTGGCGTTGCTTCTGTTTGTGGCAGTTGGGGTGGACATCATGAGCGGCAACCTAGTTTCCCTTCCGACTGTCCGATTTGTGTTCAGTACCTGCAAACCCCCACCCGCACTTGGGTACGTGCGCAGAAAAGCAATCGTTAGTTACATGATTTGTCATTAATTGTTCCATTAGTGAGGCGAGTGAAGCGCTCCCAAGTCCCCATGCAAATAAAAAAAGGTAAGCTTTACCCCCCCCCAATAAAGCCTTTGTGGGTACAAGCTGGAAAGACTGCAAGAGGCGGCAAACAAATGTTTCTTCCAAGATGCTTCCAATCAAGGTCTCCAGTTTTGACCAATTTCAATCAAGGGCTCCCTTCATTTCTCTTACATCAAAAGGAATGCGCAGCTCACTTTAGACTGCCCCTAAGGCGATGTCAAAGAAGCCACCCTCTTTGGGGAAATATGGGTATGGGTCAAAATTAAACCACCACGAATTGGACCTCATATTTTAGTCCATGTTTCTAATTGCTAGGGTTCTATTTTGAGCGCCATATTTTGGGAATTCGCTTTGTGCTGGACTCGCAGGCTTGAGCAGTGCGACAGTGGAGAAGCCCCGGAGGTCGTTGGCAAGACGTCGCGAGTCGAAGACGGTGGCGGTGGCCTAAGGCAAGCTGTTTCGGCATCTTTTTCGCGAGCTCGCCTGAGTCACCGTCAAAACCCGGGTGAATGAAGGTTAGTAAGGGATAATCCCAACCATAAACAGCTGCGGCCGCTTTCTAAGTTCTTCACATGGTTCTGGGTAGACCATTTTACTACCGGGTTGTGATTGTGACTCACCTGGGGGGGGGGGGGACGGTGGGGGTGTCTGTTAAGGCGAGCACTTTCGCCCCTGAAGAAGGCCCATTGCTTGAGGTTGCCCCGAAGTTGTGGATGGTGCAGGTCAAACCGATCAAATATACCTTGCGGATTGCGGGTGGATTTCTTGTATTCCACCACCGTAAGGGAACCTGCTGCACAAGTGAGTAATAGACTTAAGTCTGTTTAATCTATTTGTTTTTAAAGTCTGCCGTGTGGAACAACCACAAAGGGGGGTTCAAAACCTCGTTTGTGGAGGTGCGTGTCGTGGCATGAGCACTTGTTTCGGGTGGGTGAAACACAAATTCGTTCTTTGGCTCCAGTTGTTGGCAACATCTCGAACCAAATCCGAGGCTCTTCTCCAATGAAACCTCCACCCAGGCTTCATGCCTGTTGGCCATAATTAAGATATTTGCCTGTAAGAGGGGACAGAGGCGGCACGGCAAAATGCACGCCCATTTATACCAACTTGCCTTGTACGCCCTGTGACCCAGTTCTGCTTTCCTTTTGTTGGGGGGGATAGCGCAGGTCACCTCATTCGTCGCCTGAAGCTGTCGCCTTTTGTTGTGTTCCAAATTGGAACGTTCCGAGTTTTTGCCGCCGAAGCCAGCCACATGGGAGGGGTCGCTTTGTTTCTGAATGGACGCCAAGAGCACAGAGAAAAACCGACACAACAGATTCTGAGTTGCTTCAAGTCGGATTTCTCCCAGATTCTCAGGTTAGTGTTTGGTAGCGGACTAATTCGCTGGGTGATGGAGTTGCGCACAATTCTCCAGGCAGCCCTTGAAGGATGGTTCAGCTACTTGGGCAGTCGACACCGGGGATGTGGACGGCTTCCAAAATCTGCCCGATGGGCATCAATGGAAACCACAGGAATACAGAAAGATAGAGGCTTGGACAATTTAACCAATGCATTGGTGCCTGGCGGTTTGCCCATAAGCTATCCCGCTTGACTGCCCAGAACTGAAAAAGGGACCCCCATAAACGTGAATGTATAGAGGGGGTCTCGACATTGTCAACCATAATTTGCCTTTGACACTGTTTCGATTCGACCTGTTTTCCCTTTGGGTGCAATCACTTTGGGTGCCGTTATGAATTATCAATTCACCCAAGTCGCGGCTGTTTGCTGGGAGGGGTGAAGGAGCTTGGGGACGCATGAAAGATCCTGGTAGTGGGGAGTTTTGTTATCTCATGCGGCTGTTTTGCATATTGTGTTGTCTAGCATGTAGAAATTCAGAAGGGCGCTTTGCAGCCAGTGGTCAACACATTTCTCCTTCCCTCCATAGAGTTGCATGGAAACTAGCTCCTTTTGCGGAGGGTCCTTGGAAGCTGGTTGGGCTGGGCAATGTTTGGCTTGTCACCTTTGTTTCAAGTGAAGCCAAGTGGAATACCACCATTTTGTTTGGGGGGGTATCTTGTCGAAATGTGATGATGTATGTTAGTTTTGAGTCCGATCGCCCCTTTCTCCTAAATCAGCCTTGAACACGTATGTTCTTTGGTCTTTGGGTAATAGGATGTCAAGCTCTCAATTGATGTGTGCGATTCATCCCCTGCATGTCGCCGCAAAGCACGGCCCGTCCATTTATGGACTGACAGCCAGAAGCTGTGTTTGTACAGAGCTATGGGCGGGGTCGAATCATTCTTGGGTGCACCAGGGATCAAGGGAACAACGCGCGAGCTGGGCACCAGTGCACTCAGCATCAAATTGCTGCATATGCTGCAGATCAGGTTCCCTTACAAGTTTATAGCAGCGCCAATTGCTTCCAGATTTTGGTCCTGCCAGCTTCAAACAAATCGGAATCGCCCAACCAACCCGACGGGGGTTCTCTTGCGCAGGCTGGCCCCCGGCAATGCTTTGCTATCCGGTGATGTTGCATGTTCTTGCCGCTTTGCTTTCCAGGGTTCCGTATGCTTAACGTGAAAACACACATATTTTATATGTATGCATATCTAACCGCGTGTGGTCGACATATCTTTGCACAGATATAGATATAGAAATGTATACATGTATGTGAAGGATCACTTTTCGGCTGCCAAGTCAAAGCGAGATGCCTTTTGGCAGTGATATGTAAGTTGGAAACATACCGAGAGCACTGGTTTCCCCGCAATGTGCCTTCATGGGAATCAAGGGATGGGCGGGGGGTGAAAGCCGATGGCGCAAAATGGCTTGGGATTGGGGCATCGATTAGACCAAGACTCAGTGCCGGGTTTAATATATGAGGCTGCAACAAAGTCGCAGAGGGCCTCTATCCTTCACTCCAAACCGTTGGAAACGCGAGACCCTGGGAAGGAGCCATAGGGCAAACATGGGCAAACTGTTGCTTCCCTACGAATTTCTCATTCGGAGCGCTTCCCCTAAACATGCAGCTCTTGATGCAGCTCGGGTGCGCGATTGACAAGGCATTGGGCCTGACACGAGGTCTGTTGGACCCCCACCCCAAAAAAAAACAGAAAAACAAAAGGAAACAAAAGAAAAGCATGTTCGAGGATGGTGTTTGACAGTTCGAGCTTTGTATGCTTTTGTCACTTTTTGCTGGGTTTCAGCAGCGCTCGGTGGAGGCTTTAGCAGGCCTCACACGTCCCGGATCTTCAGTTTTTTGGCATGCGCGTGGCGGCGAGGTCGGACAGCTCGGAGCTCTCGGGATCGAAGGTGGCTTTCGGGGCTGGTCATATGAGGGTATGCGGGCTATGGCTATTTGGAGCTCCGAAGAAAAATTTCTCGCGGGTGCTCAGTATGGAATGAGGTCCCCTTAAAGGAAACCACCAGTTGGATGGTTTATAGGGGTTATTCCCTGCTGAGCACCGGCAAGCTAAGGGCTTAGCAGCTGATACTCCACTTCTGATGGATCAAGTCGGCTTCACGCCAACCACTAGTACTCCTAGTACCGGGGGTGAATCCGTGCCGCGGGATTGTGTCCATCCAGTGCAGTACCCTTCAAATGCTTTGGTTTGAGGTTGAGTTCGACAAGCCCAGAATTGCTCAAACGGAAGCCAGGGATGGGAAAAGTTTGCATTTCTTGACCAAAGCTCTCCGTCAGACCTCGGGAGGGCGGACTGGATCTGGGGGGCCAGGCGCCTCGCAGCTTTTTGCCGGCGCCTGGCTTTGGAGGGTCGGATCCTGTCGCACGCAGCAAGACTCACCTCTCAAATATCCCCACCCCCTTAAAAATGGAATTTGGGGAGGGGGGTGACTCCTGGAATTCCATGTATATTCTATTTTCCTTTCAGGGGGAAGACTAGATAAAGGGAATCGGGGGACCCCCTACCCTCTCCCCCTAACATGGGAGGGGGGATTCTGGGGTCATGGCAATGGACGATTTGCACAACCCGGGTGATGAATAGAAGGGTGTCGAGTTCAGTCTCCTTTTCTAGTTTTAGTGGGGGCTGAAATCACTTTTGGAGGGGAACATCGGAACACCCCATATGGTATGTGTTTATTGATCCGGGGTCAACATTACCTTCGATATTGTTTGATAGGGTTAAGGTTGACTAATAAATATGACACAGAATCTGAACGTATCATTTCTGATATACCCTAAATGGCTTGGTCTTTAAGAATTCGAAATCGGGTCAGTCACCCTTGTGCCTAGGGAGAGCCTTCTCCTTGTCAAGAAAGCTTGAAAACATGGAATTCCAGCTCTTGCGTTGTGTGGGAGCATCGCATTCAACGTCACATTCAAGCGGATGGATCCATTTTGATGGGAACGCGCCCAAGAATCCGCGGGTTCTTACATGGGATGACAGTTGGGGAAAACCACCAAACGCAAATAACATGTTCTCGCAAATTTGAAAACTTACCGCTGCTATCCGCTGCTACTTTGGGGGCCAGGAATATTGATCAATCCCCGTATTGAATCCTCTTGATGACAGACAGGGTTCGCAAGGGGCCCAGACTGGGGCCGTCCACGTGCGGACAGAAGTGGACGCGGCCGGTGATAAGACGAGGCTGCCGGCAGTTCTCGTGGAATCCACCGACCCGCGGAGCCTTTCGGGCGGAGATAGCTGCCAGGTGAGGAATTTATCATGGGTTTATCTCAAAATATGGCCATGGGTCAAAAGCCCGTACCCCCAGTGAACATCCCAATCCCCGCTAAGATAGCTAAAATGGGTGGTGCACCTGCCCCAAAATGGTACCATTGGTTTTGACCCGCAGCCATAGGGGAAGCCTTTAAAAGTGTGCTTGTTCCTGAACACCACTCCAAAGGAGTAGCCTCAAAACAAGACGCGCATCTCGACATTCGGCTCACGGTCAGTCTGCCTATTTGATGGTGAGCTCGCTTGGAGGTCAAACGACGCCATGATAAAGATCCTCGCCTTTGTTAGTTTTGTCCGCATGGGTTTGACTTACGCATATAATGTTTTCGGACACCTTGTTTTCCAATTGATACAAGCAGACACTTGAGTAAATAGATAGGTCTGGTTCATGTGCATGATCAAGCTTCTCACTATGTCTGTGCAAGCTCGATATTGCCAGTTATTCACCAAGACTCATCCGACTGGCAGTTTTATTGATGGGCACAAACGCCGGGAGATACGGAGACTAAAACTACCAATCTATTTTCGGTTGAAGATAGTATTCACCCAAACTGACACGTCTCCGCCTTGGAAGGTGTTTCTTAATTCGAGTTGCACTCCGGGAATTCAGCCAATGCCTTAAGGGATCGCCCCGTGTCGAGGTCTAAGTGACTGTGAGCAATTCGATTACAGAAGGCTGGCGGCTGAACCAAATAGGAATTGCAAAAAGCAACGCGGCTTGCCCTCAGGAAACTCGTCTTCCAAAAGTTCGGTGTACTTGCATTCATGCTCGTGGTAAAATCAGGCTTTCCATGCTACTTCCTGTTGTGGTCATGGCTTGCGATCATATCCTTCGAACAAGTGTGCCTTTGGGGGTCAAAAGCGACTCCTGGCAGGGCTCACGTGAGCCCCCTACCCGGACATACCCCGTTTTATGTTCCCTCGGGGTTTCAAAGCTACTTCTTTGTATCGAAGGACATGGGAGGTCAGGTCAGGGAAGGATGCATCTGAGCAAGCAACCCATTTCACTCACTTTTAAGGTCACCCCAATTGACAGAATCCCCAGATTGATTGGAACAAGGGGCCAATCCTCGTCCATTGTTGGTGGGTGGCCGAACCGCCAAGGATTTCTATGCCCTTTTGCATTGCTTGTGACGTTTGGCACATGTGGTCATTGCGAGTTGGAACTTGTGTAAATCTCAACTTGTGCCGAAGCCTCCATGTTTTTGTCCTGGCACCAGGAGGGATACCCTGGCTCAGTCATGGGGAACATGATCCCAAGCTCCAGCCGTGCCTCACGTGTAGCTCGGACAGCCCCGGCGCTCGCCTCCGCACCTGTACAGTGAGACGGCGCGAAGGTTTCTCAAAGCCTTTCTGAAGAAAAAGGCGAAGGATGTGGAAGGCTTCTGGCCATGTAGACTATCAACGCCGACCCCGGGATTTGAATTTCGGTTGATGCATAGGGGTGTGGCCGAATGGCCCAGTTGGCGGGGAACTTCACTCTTGGGGGAGACACTCTGCTATTTTAACCACCAGCATGAGGGTCACTAGCGTTTCTACTCTTCCGTGGTACTTGGTTTTTCTCAGCCAAGAGCCTTCAGAAACACCAAGTTGG